TAGGCAAGAAACTCAAATGCAGATTTCTAATAGAATTCCACCCTAGAGTGCAGAGCTCATCATTAGGTTATGTTATGGGCCACCTGCGATATCTTTTATCCAAAATATAAAATGAAGGAGGCAAAAATATTACTCGGAAGTGGCGTTCCAGTTTTCCCTCGCTCCTCTTTCACTGCCTGCCCCCGGTGGTTGCTGTCTACTCTTTTTCCAGATTAAGCTGCATTCCCACGACCTCTGTTTCCAAATGCTCTCACAGTTTGGGGATAATTAAGAACGGGGAGGAAAATCAAAACATAAGGCCAAGAAGAGGTTGAGGGAACGTGTTAATCCCCAGAAAAGATACTTTGGGGTAAAATCTTGATGAAGGTTGTAGTGATGCTGTTCTGAAAATTAGGAAAGAGAAAGGGCTTCCTTCAACATTTTCTTTGTCTGTAGATACAGCTAGAAATGGCTATAAACTTTCATTAATATTATATCCTTGTCTCTGCAGGAAATGATACTAAGATTAGTTGGATAGTAAAGCTTTGCTCAGGATGGAAGTGGATGGCCTTTGGTTCCTTGGAGACCATGAGTTTTGCTGATGTATACAGCCAAGGGTAATACAGTAGTTTTCCTATGACTGAGGGAGTAGCTTCTCTGATTCTTAAGGTAAAATCAAGATTCAGTTCTTAATTATTGTATTACTAAAGAAAAACAAATCCAGGTTTGAAAGCATCAGAGGAGGTAAAGAATAATGAACTTTCTTTTTTGGCACACCATGAACATTTTTTTAATCTTACGATTGCTATTACTGATGTGATTCATGCCGCCTACTGCCCCTGTACTTGATCCAAGTACTCATAAGGAAAATTGCCAGATAAAGTACCAAATGAGGTGTTTATGAAAACATACAGAAAGGAAAGAAAGCACTGAAAGTATAGGTTGATACTACTTAGGTCTGAGGCATTTTATTAGCCTATACCACTACAGGTGAATGAGGTGTTTTTGATGTTGACTAAGATGCTTAGGATTGGTTTTTCAAAATACATCTTTTTATATTTATTTTTCATAGTTTTTTAAAGTATATCTTATTGATTATGCTATTACAGTTGTCTCACTATTTTTGCCTCTTTATCCCCTTGTGCCCAGTACCCTCCTTCCCTCTAGCATTGCCTGCCCCTGCCCTTAGTTCATGTCCATGGGTCATACATGTAAGTTCTTTAGCTTTTCCATTTCCTATACTATTCTTAACCTCCTTCTGTCTATTTTGCACCTACCATTTATGTTTCTTATTCCCTGTACCTTTTACCCCCATCCTCCCCCTTCTCCTCCTCACTGAGAACCCTCCATGTGATCTCCATTTCTGTGATTCTGTTCCTGTTCTAGTTGTTTGCTTAGGGTTTTTTTCCAGTTCAGTTGTTGATAATTGTGTTTGTTGTTATTTTACTGTTCATAGTTTTGATCTTTTTCTTAGATAAGTCCCTTTAACATTTCATATGAGAAGGGCTTAGTGATGAACTCCTTTAACTTGACCTTATCTGGGAAGCACATTATTTCCCCCTCCGTTCTAAATGGTAGCTTTCCTGAATAGAGAAATCTAGGTTATAGGTCCTTGCTTTTCATGACTTGGAATACTTTTTTCCAACCCCTTCTCACCTCCAAGGTCTTTTTTGAGAAATCAGCTGGCAGTCTTATGGGCACTCCTTTGAAGGTGACTGTCTCCTTTTCTTTTGCTGCTTCTAAGATTCTCTCCTTCTCTTTAATCTTGGCTAATATAATTATGATGTGCCTTGGTGTGTGCTTCCTTGGGTTCAACTTCTTTGGGACTCTCTGAGCTTCCTGGACTTTCTAAAAGTCTGTTTCCTTTGCCACATGGTGGAAGTCCTCCTTCATTATGTTTCCAAATAAGTTTTCAATTTCCTGCTCTTCCTCTTCTCCTTCTGGCACCCCTATGATTCGGATGTTGGAACCTTTAAAGATGTCCTGGAGGTTCCTAAGCCTTTTCTCATTCCTTTGAATTCTGGTTTTCTTCATTCTGTTCCGGTTCAATGGTTATTTCTTCCTTTTGTTCCAAACCGTTGGTTTGAGTCCCGGTTTCCTTTCCTTCACTTTTTTATATTCACCTTTATATTTTTCTTTTTTTAAAGATTTTATTTATTTATTTATTTTTAGAGAGGAAGGGAAGCAGAAAAGGAGAGAAATATCAATGTATAGTTGCCTCTCATGAATCCCCTGTTGGGAATTGGCCTGCAACTCAGGCATGTGCCCTGACTGGGAATCGAACTGCGATAATGTGGTTTGCAGGCCCGCGCTCAATCCACTGAGCTACACCAGCCAGGGCACTTTTATATTTTTCTTTATTTCACCTTGCATAGCCTTCACTTCTTTCTTTATTTAGTTGCCATACTCATCATTTCTGTGAGCATCGTGATTATCATTGTTTTGAACCCTACATCTGATAAGTTGGCTTTCTCTTTATTAGTTCTTTTTCTGGAGTTTTGATCTGTTCTTTCATTTGGACCATATTTCTTTGTCTCTTTTCTCCTGTTACATAGTAAGGGGTCGGGCCTTAGGTATTCGCGATGGTGGGGCAACCCTTTTTGCTGCGTTGCGGCACTATGTTTGGGGTAGGTGTGAGAGAGAGGGAACAGTGCCTCTTGCTTGGCTCTCCACAGGCTTTCAGTCACTTCCCCCACTACACCCATGTGAACTGCGCCCTTCTGGTGCTGATTCCAGTGTGGGTGGTCTTGTGTATGTTCTAGGATCCTGTGGTCCCCTCCAACAGGCTCTCCTGTGAGACTGGCAGTTTTCCCCACCACCACAGCCCCCACAGGTTTTTACTGGCAGAGGTTTTAAAGCTCTCTTTCCCAGCAGTGGAACCCTGGCTTGCTCGGTCTGTCTCTCTGCCCACTTGTTCCTCCCAGTTTATCTGCATGTGAATGTGGGACTGCCCAGTCTGCCAGCTGCTGCCTCGCCTGCCTGGTCCACTAGCCACCACCTTGCCATGTGTTCTCTCCCACCACCTTGCTATTCCTCCTCTCCACCCCAGCTGTCCATCTCTGCCCCTTCTACCAGTGTGTATGAGTGTTTCTTCTTTAACTCCTTGGTTGTTGGACTAACATGTAGTTTGATTTTCTGGTAGTTGTGGTTTGTTGTTTTTAAATTGGTTGTTATCCTTCTTTTGGTTGTGTGAGGAAGCAAAGCATATCTGTCTATACCTCCATCTTGGCCAAAAGCCTTCATAGGTTTTCTTGTTTTGTTTTGGATTTTTTTTTAGATTTTTAAAATTATATTTAACTTTATGGCACAGTGAACATCCAAGTGTGCTGTATAGTCCCTTGGATTTGACTCTGTGCTAGAGAAATGTCTGTCCTTTTCCTCTGCATTGAAAGGACTATTTATCCTTTTAAATGTATTCAGAAAGTCAGCACATTGTTAAAAAAAAGAATAAAATTATATTTAACTTTAAATATTATTTTGTATTAGTTTCAGTTGTACAGTATAGCGATTTGTCAGTTGCGTGCTTTACAGAGTATTTCCCCCTCATATTTCCAGTATCCAACAGATACCATTCATAGTTATTAGAATATTACTGACCATAATTCCTACGCTATATGTTATATCCCCGTGACTAGTTTGTAACTTCCAGTATGTATTACTCAATCCCTTCACCTTTTTTGCCCCACTTCCCGACCCCTCTCCTCTGGCAACCATCAGTCTGTTCTCTATATCTATGAATCTGTTTTTATTTTTTCTCAAAATATGTCTTGGTAATTGTACTTCTTGGAGTTAGCAACTTTTTCTCTATCATGATAATCTAGTTGCAGAAGTCAGTCTTTTACCCCCCAAACTATTTTAAACAGAAGCTGGTTTAAAAAAGCAGCCACGTTGGTCACTGGCATGGACTCAGTTCCTTCCAGCCTGCCATACTTCTCTAGTAAGCATTTATTGAGGGCAGATCATTTTGTGGAAACTGCCACCTTCTGGTATTGCTCAGAGACTGTTGACACAGACAAAAATGTTAATGCTGCAAAGAGTTGTTATATGCTACAGACCATATAAGGAGGGAATTGGCTGGGTTGGATTAAAAATAACAAAACTCTCTCAGACATTTTCCAGTAGGAAATGGTACATGTTCTTACATGAGGTTCATAAATAGAAGGTAGACCAGTTGGTTAGTCTTAGAAGACCTGTGGGCAGTCAGTGTGCAGATGGGCTTGTGCGGCATGGCTTTTTTTTCCCCTCCTCCTCTCCCTCACTCTCCTTGCTTCCCTCCCTATTGAGCTCTTTCAGTTTTATAATTCTCTGCTGTTAGATTTCACAATATCAGAAACACACAGTATTTATCTGTTAAAGGACATGTTTTTCTTCTTTTATAAAGGTGTTTTTAGAGAGAAAATATTAGCTGTACAGAAGCACATAGTAGATATATTTCTAAAATGTCTTTCCATTGTTTTGGGGGGTTATATTCTTCAAGGTAAAGTGGCTGTAAGCAGTCTGTTAATATTTGAATGAATAGGCATATAATTCAGTTGGCTTTATCTCATATTGCAAACTTCTTAGTTTTTTATAATAGATCTCTTCATTGTTAAAATTGTGTGGATAAATATATTTGGGGCTGTGTGTATATATATTAGTGTAGTTGAGTCCGGAAAGCTTTAGGATTGGTAAAAGCTTTGGTTTAATGCCTCCTGAGATTCAGAACAAAGAGCACTTCTGTGCAGATGCTCCGTCTTTGCCAAATGCAGCCTTACTCCTGTGGAACTAATAATGGATGGATTTGGATCATAGCAAGTGAGGTAATGCAAGTTTTAGACAAATGCCTCTGGATGTTGAAGTGATATGGCCCCCCACCTAGCTATTTTTAGGCATCCTTTTTTCAGGGGAGACTATCTTAAAAGTCACTTGGGTTCCAAAATGGAAGAAGCAAGGTTCATAGAAGCTTTTAGGCAGCCTGTTTGCATTGAATCAAGTCCTTAAAGAGGAGAAACTTAAAAATGTTTTTGTCCTTGTGATTTCAGGAGTGACCACTCTTCTAAAGTGGACATCGAAGGAGGATCAGTCAGGCCATGTAAGTACTGTAGTAAGCAAATATTTACCTGACTAAGCATAGGTCCAGGACATTTGACCCTGGAAGGGAGAGGACCAAGTAGTTGACTCAGGTGTTAACATTTAGAACCATAAAATGCAGACACTGTAGTCTACCAGTGTAACCCAGTCCCTAGAGGACATCTCCAGCTATCTGGTTAAAGCCTGGTGGACTTTATCTTTTGTGATAATTGGGCAAGGATATTCCATCTGTCTAGAATTAGTGAAGTGACTGGAGCCGAAGGCCATCTGTCACTTTGTGCAGCCACCACCCAACACGTTTATTGATCTTGTTTGTGGCTGGTTGCTCTTACATGGACGGCTGGCCCTGTCAGAGCAGCCCGACCCAGACCACAGAAGATCACGGATGTACATATAAGAAAAGGCAGTGGGCTACGGGGTGACTCCTAAAGATTGCACAGTTACTGAACTGTGTCTGTATCAAGGAACTTGCTCCAGGACTACATTTTCCTCAAGTCCTCAGTCATGAACATAATTTTTGGAGGAAGCAGTTTGCTAAATACTTCCTTATTTACCCATCTGAATAGTCAGGAGCGCCTGAAACCACTCACTGCTCAGAGTACTGTACCCTTCAGAGTTACCTTGGTAAATGAGATGTTCAACTTGGGAGTAAAATATTTGGATATCACAGGCTGATAGGATTTGGGTGTCAAGGTTATAGGGCCAACAGAATGAAACATTAAATATTCCTAATTCTTATTTCTTTTATGTGTGTGGGTCTTTGAACAAACTTTGTCTCTAACATCACAGGATTAAAAACTTCCAGCAACTCACAAGCAGATGAATGTCTGATGTGAATGAAAGCCTTGATGTTAGAGCTAGAAAATTATGTGACCATGTGACTTTCATCAGAGGCTGCTCTCCAGCTGTCACCTTGAGAGTTTGTCCTGCTGGAAGAAACCAGAAAAATAGGAAGTGTCTTCTTTAAAACCTCAAAGGGGTTTCAAATCTCTAAAGATGAGGGATTTTTGTCTGAGATGCAACAGGCATATTTGATCCATCCCCCTCCCCACCCCACTTCCTCACATGCACACACCACACACATCACTCAGTGGAAATGGAACTTTATTTCAGACACTGACCAACGGAACAATACCTTCAAGGGGCTGTCCCGAAATTAGTCTGGTGTGGCCGATAGGGGCATTTGTTCACTCTCCAGGAGTTGTCAGGCATGGCAGCTGGAGGTTGCAGGGTGACATCTGCTGACTCAGAGCTGGGTCTCTGGTCCCTGATACCTAGTTGTTCTGGCTGATGCTGTGAGAAGGATGAGCCTCTTTCTGCCTTTCCTGTGCTGTGGGTGGTTTTTATGGTAGTACTTGCACCTCCCTCCTGCTCTCAGCTCTGCCCTGCGTGTGGCCGGCAGGCCTCACGGAGCAGGCAGACATGTTGGTGTTGTGTGACACTCCTGGGCTCTGTCTGTCTGCCACCAAATATGTTGTCACCTTCCCCTCCTCAGCACACCACACCTAGCTGCCCTTGGAGAGGCCTCTTGGCTCCTTTAGGAATAACTACCGAAAGAGCAGCTGTCTTTCGGCCTCCTCCAGACCAGTTGAGTTGGGTTGTTGTCAGCCTGTTGTTGGAAGAGTTCCCAACGTAAGCGACTTGGCTGTCACTGACATTTATAACTTGAAAGCCACATCCCAGGTGATTTTGCATTTCCTATAATCCTTTAAGTAGCCTTCAGAACATTAAGCACATGGCTTCTACATACTTTGGCAACTTCCAGGAGAGTAGAAAGAGCTGGGTCTTCCAGAAGGTAGAGACGCAGCTCTCTATTCTCCCGTGTTGTAAAATCGTGTCTTCTGATGGAGGAAGGGAGAAGTCATTCTGGCTTTGTGCTTGGGTGTGTGTGGGGCCACGTGAGTCAGTTTATGTCAGAAGATTATTGGTTTCTAAGAACAAGTGACTCTTTAGCTCTGACTGCTGTGGAGCCTGTGGTAACTGATGTAAGAAAACTGGGGTCAGAAGGTGTTCCTCACATGCATTGGTAGATCCCATACCTGGTCTTTTATGTCGTAATTTCAGAAAGAACCAGTTTCTCAGCTTCACTTCTTCACGGATGACTGGAAGAGAAAGGTGCAGTGTTTGTGGTAAAAAGTAAAATTAAAACCAAAGTTACCCCAATAGATCAGGTGAACGAATACTACCAAAGAAGGTGGAGAAAGGGCAGAACGAAATGGGAACACATTTCACCCAGTGTGGTTCTGTCCAGACTGTAAATTTTCCAGGGGCTCAGACTGGACCTGTTGCCCCTCGTGCCACCAGGGGCCAGCACAGAACCTGGCATGTGGCAACATGATGAGCTGCACAAATGAGTGTAAAGAAGAAAAGGTGCAGAGAAGTCGATTTCATTTTACGGTCATGTGTCACTTAATGATGGGGACACATTCTGAGAAATGCATTGTTAGGCGATTTTTTCATCGTATGAAAATCATAGAATGTAGTACACAAACCTAGGTGGTCTGGCCTGTTGCTCCTCAGCTACAAGCTTGTACAACACATTAATGTACAAAACAGTAAGACACTAAATCAAGCACAAAAGAAAATGATGCAATCGAGAGACGTGATAAACACGGCCTGCTGCAGGCATGATGCGGCATACTCTTTTATAAGTAGGAAGAGTACACACTCTAACAATACGAAGTGTAGGAAATACATAAACCAGCCACTTATCATCAAGTGTCATGTACTGTACACAATTGTATGTGTTGTGCTTTCACATACTGGCAGTGCAGTAGGTTTGTTTACATCGGCATCACCGTGAACATGTAATACATTGAGCTGTGGCACTTTAAACTTTTTTTTTAACCCGAGGGTTATGTTCAGTGATTTTAGAGAGAGAAAGGGGGGGTTGGGAATAAAGAGGAAAGAGAGAGAGAGAGAGACAGAGACTCGTGTCGGGGGAGAGAAACATTGATCAGCCTCCTCTGCACGTGCTGAACCAGAGATCAAACCCGCAACCCAGGTGTGTCCTGACCGGGCAGTGAACCTGCACCCCTTTGATGTGTAGGACAGTGCTCCAACCAACTAAGCCACCTTAGTGGCTTACGGCACATGACTGTATTTTTATCCTGGTAGTGCTGACATGGAAATACATTAAACAACAAATCCAGATTATGGGACTTAAAGTTAATTATGTTTTCCTGTTGATGTCAAAGATGAGTAATCTTGGAAGAGACATGAACAGAATTGGGGATTTAGACAACAGGCTGTAGAAGTGATTAAAATGAAACACTTTCACTGCCTGTGCTCAGATCTCTGCCTGTGGTGCTCAGGACATTAGTGACTATTACGAAATGGGAGTGTCTGACCTTGTCTGGGTGCTGTGCAGCTGGGCCCAGTGCGTAGTTCGCCAGGCAGGAGTGGGCAGGAGCCAGCTCTTGAGCCAGCTCGGTAGTGGCCACAGGCTTTGGGAGGGTGGTCAGCCGAGGGATGTTTGTCGCCTTCCTGGCCCGGCGCCTGTGGCGCGCGTCCGTGCTGCATCGAGTCCTCTTCCTCAGGGCCCAGGAAGTGCCCTGGAGTCCCTCAGGCTGCACTCCAGCCACGGCCCACTATGATAGAGGAGCATGGAGGAGTCAACCCCGCTTCCCTCCCGGCCTAGGGAGAGGCGGCAGGCAGAGCCGCAGGGGCAGGGGCAGAGGTCAGGGCAGTGGAGAGCCACTTGCCTTGTCGCCAGGCCAGGCGTGGGGCAGCGGGGCGGCCGTCTCCTCAGATGTGCCCGTCTAGTCAGAATTCCCATTCATGCAAAAGGTTTCAAAACAACATCTTGCATCTGTTCTGGCTTTGCTTGAAAACAATGTTTAAGAATTTTAAAATATTGCCAATAACCAGATGAGCAATATCCAGACAAACTCAGAGACTTACTAGAACACTCACACAGTTTCCCTAGATTCCCTGCTTTTCTGATCCCGCTAATCACACGCCTTATTAACTGTAAGAGATGCTTACATGGGCCTCTGTGAAAGTCACTGTCCTTTTGTCCCCATAAATCCTAAAAAGTGAGGTCTGCCCAGAACCCAGACCGACGTGAAGCGGCAGCACACCCACGCTCTGAGGAGGGCTGGTGCCGTGTGGGTCCGCCCTTACCTCGGTTTTCCGTGTTCGTCCTGTCATGTCATGGCCCTTCTCGCCGTCTGTTTTCCTCCCCATTCAGTCTCAGGGAGGTGTCTGTGAGTTTCCCTTCTCTTTTCTGGCCAGTGCAGGGCTCCCTGCTAAAGGGCGGTCAGTCAGTCCTGCTCAGCAGGGCTGACGCCATCTCCACGACTCATTCTCTTCCCATAACGCTTCGTCACACTTACTGCCACACGCAGGCAACTCACTCTCTGAGTGGCCGCTCGTTTCTCCCCAAGCCAGTGTGGGATTTCTCCACGAGAGCCCATCTCCCCAGAGGGAGGCAAAGGCCGCTTCACCATCGCCTTTCAGGTTTGGGGTGATGGGTAGACAGCGTCTGTCGGGCAGACTGAGGCTTCCGCTAAGGTTAATTAATGTAGGTAAGACCCATCGACAGGCCTCTGGTCTTCACCGAAGCCATTTCCTCAGACCAGAGTCTGTGGTATTTTAGCTGTGTTGATGAATGACTGATGAGTCACTTAACTCTTTGTTTTGGTCTGAGCCTCAAGGTGGCTTACAGTAACCAGTGTCTGCAGTTTACACATCCGGGAGGACTGAGGGGAGCCCTGGGGAGGGTGAGGCCAGAAGGATTGGGGAAGGGGGTACCGTAGCCTTGGGAATTTAGCTGAAGAGTTTGGGGACTTGGGCTGCTCACAGTAACAACAGTTTTGAAAAAATCTAGGCCATTGTGGTTTGGTACAATAAAATCAATCACTAGAAAAATGAAATAAAAGAACAACAAAGTTCAAAGTAACAAGTCTTTAATTTTATTTATTAGATTCAAAAACATGAAATTACCCTATCAAATTGTTACGAAATTTCCCAGAACACTTACGCTCAGTTTTGGCACTTCTTTCTTCACAGACCAGAAACCCTTTGTGGATCACCCCCACTCTGCGGTCCCCCTGCCCCCAACCCCCTTGGAGTGGCACGGACCCAGGAGGTGTGGGTCTCCGCTCTGTGTCTGCCCTGTACTGTGGGAGGCCCAGCCTGACCTTCCCGAGGGGGTTTTATGCTATGAAGTGGTGGTTGCTAGCGTGGTTCTGCTGTCCCTGACAGGAGTGTAGGACCAGGACAGCAGGTGCTTATTCCTGAGTCCTTGGCCCCAATGGGTCTCCTTTCAGGATCCTTCTGGAAGGAGCACGCTGGAGATTATTTTACATATCCCCTGGCCACCTTGACCAGGTGTCTGACCAGGTCATTTGAAAGGTGTGTGTCCTGCATTAGTGACCTGTAACAAATGGGCCTCCACGTGTGTCAGGGTCTATCTGTCTATCTACCTATAGTTATTTCTTTTGTCTACAGTTTTAGACTGGTGGTTGTGGGGGTGGGGGAACAGCTCCTTTAAAGAAGTCGTTTAGCGACCAAAACTAAAAAGGCCTGACTTTTTGAACACAGGCCTTCCGGGATCGCCCTGCACTACTGTTCATCCCAGTAGGCAACAGGTGGAGGAGCAGCGTGGGAGGACTCTCTGGCCGGGCCTGGAAGTGGTTAGTGTCACTTCCCATTCATATCCCCCTGCCTAGAACTCAGTCACCTGGCCACGCCTCCCGGTTCGGAAGCAAAGTCTAGCTGTGTGTCCGGGGAGAAGAGATTGTGTGTTCAGTGTAGCCCCTCTTCTCCCGCTTCTCTGCCTCACTCATTAGAGTCTTGTTCACCACGGCATTCTTTTATCCAAAGGAAGTCATGTATTCCTCTTTTGTGCCTCCCCCTGATTACAGTCGGGCACTCCATTTTTGTGCACTGGGCTAAGAAGCAATGGCAGGAGAAGAGAATGGAAGCTGCCTCAGAATTAATGGACAGTGATTATGCAGGCCGCTGTCAGCAGCCAGGAGTGGCCAGTACTGACTATGAGAGTAAACTGGATGTGTGCCATAGGTCACATTTGGATTTTTAAAAAAAATCAAGGTATTTGTAAGTTGTGAGTAATGCTAGTCTTCAAAAAGGAAATGACACTTAGGTGGAGGGAACCCTTGGTTCAGGGGAAGCCAGTAGCCTATACTGATGTAATCTAACTTTATAAAAAGCCAAAGTGGCTCTAATATCTTTACAAGTACACTTTTCCTGAAGCGATGAATTTAAAAAAATACACCTTTATTGGCTCTCAATGCAGAGAAATCTGAGAGCAGAAAGTGAGAGGTGAGATCTATGGGAGTGTCGGGGTGTGTGGAGGGGTTCTTGGCGGAATTGCAGGGTGTAGCATTCTCCCGGAGCCCGTGTTTAGTGGGATGTCATTCTGAAGAACTGGACTAGTCATTTTTGGACTGAGAATCTACTACTAAAAACCAGCTATGTAGGTCATGGAAGAGGCGAGATGCCAGAAGTATGTGGTAACCCAGAGATTCTCAGCCAGAGGAAGATATTCCTACCCTAGGGCTGCAGGAGAGGTGGGAGTAAGGAGCGTTACCGGAAATGGACGTGGGGTCCCCTGGAAGGAGCTGCACCCTGGACAGATGGAAGGAGGGTGAGAGCCCCTGGCCTCTTGTGTGCCTGCCCTTTCAGTTGCTGCTGGTGCCTCCCACAGGCCAGCCTGAGGGGAAGCCAGTGGGCAAGGGTGTTTGGGACATGTCCTTTCCTCAGACACCTTGCAGAGAGGACAGGGGGTGCAGAGAATGGATCTGAGAGCAAAGAGGGAGATGGTTGGCGTTAGACATATGACCTCTTGGGGAAAAAGAAGGAAGAGAAACCGGTTGAGTGAGAGATTGCTTTAGGAAGAAATTTTGAGTTTTGGTCTTTGATGTCTTTCTTCAAGTCATATGTATTTTTGCATTTGTGGTTTTCTATTACCAGCCAAAGTTCTTTTTTCTCTAATTTTGTTATGCTTTTTACACCCTGTGAATTCTTTTTATTGACCTACAGTGTGGGGCAAAAGTAGGTTTATAGTTGTGAGTGTACAGACACAGTTTATTCTTGTATTGTTTATTGATTATTGAATTGTTGTTGTTCCCATGACTAGCTGTAAACCCACTTTTGCTCCACCGTGTATTTGACTCTCCAGTAATAGCTAACGTTCATTGACTGCTCACTGTGTGCTGGGAAGGTAGTGCTTTATCTGTACAGCATATCTTGTTTTGGTGCACTTCGTAAATCCAGCGCTTTCATTGGCATCAAAGCAAGACCCTCCACCAGCAGAAAGACTAAACTTGCCGAAGGCTCACAGGATAGTTAGCATTTTTTAGCACTGAAAGCATTTTTAAATTAATGTACGTGCATTGCTTTGTTAGGCATAATGCTATTGCACACTTAATAGAATACAGTATAGTGTAAATCTAACTTTCATGTACACTGGGAAACCAGAAAGTTCGTATGACTCACTTTGACGCTCGTTTTATGGAGGTACTGATTGGAACCGAGCCCGCAGTGTCTTTAAGGTGTGCCCGTTAACCCATCACATCGTCACAGCTGCTCTGTGAGGCAGGTCTAGTCAGTTCTCATTACTTGTGGATTCTGTATTTGCAGACTTGCATATTTGTGTTAAAAATTTATTTGTAACACTAAAGCCAGTAGTTAAAGTGTTTCTGTGACCTTTCACAAGGTGGAGGAAACCCCGAGTTGCCTGACGGGTACATTCCCAACTGAGGTGGAGCCGGTTGGCCCTCCGCCTTCTGGTTTCAGGTCCCATACTGCGTATGTGTGTCCTCTAGTTAGTGCCATTTTGGAGGCATTTGTGAGCTTTGTTAAAAAAGGTTATTTTGCTGTTTCTGGTGGCTACTAAGCATCACACTAAATTGCTGTCTGGTGTTCCTAAGTGCAGGAAATCTGGGCTGTGCTTTAGGTAGAAAGTACGCGTTAGATGACTTATTTAAGCCTGAGTTATAGCACTGTGGCTGTGAGTTCAATGTTAATGAATCAACAGTATATATTAATTAAGGTATCAACAGAGGAACACATGTGACATGCTTATATGTTGATCAGCTAACAAAAATGTTGTGAGCAGAGGCTCACAAGGCCCTACCCCTGCACTTCTTTGGTTCAGTGTTTGCTAATTCAGTGTCGGTGGTGACTGTAGGATGAAGGTGCTGTGCATTAAAAAAAGCTGACGGTGCTGCTTACTGTTGTTCTCAGTTTAGAGTGACAGAGGCCTACAGAGTCAGGCATGTTGCCCAAGGTCACCCAGCAGGATCAGAACCCAGGCAGTCTGGTTGCTCGCCCTTCTCTCTTCACCTCCACACTGTACTGCCTTTTGTGTCTGTTTCCTGCTGTTTTACACCCTCCTGAATCTGCTGCTGATGCCGCTGGAGTCCGCCTAGTGCTGTTTTCAGTGATAAAACTCCTGTTGGTAAAGCCAACAGTTTTCTGGTTGGGAGTTGTGATGTGTATAATCCTGCAATAAAGGTAACAATATTTGACACTTTTACAAAAACCTCCATGTGTTTTGAATGACTAAGTTCTCACAGCAGCATTACCCTGCATTTCATAAATAAAAACTGGCATCTTGGGAGGCTGTGATTTGGTCAGGGTCCCAGGATGAGAAAGTGGTAGAACAGAGACTCACATCCAGGTTTCCTGACTTTGAATCCGGGCTCTTCTGCGCTACCGAGGCTGCCACTGGGGGAGTCTCTGGGGGCTGTGTGCCTGGGGGCTGCTGCTTCCATCCTGCGTCAACCTGGAGAAGCCACGGAGAGTTAGAATTGTGTGTAGAGAATACTTTTCTTTACATAGACTATTTATTTCCAGGTTCATAGAAAATCTCCCATGGGCTCAAATGACTTTTTGGGAAAGATGTTAATTTTTTTTTCTGTTTATTAGGGGAATATTTGGAAGTAAGTGAGAAAATAGAGGGAAAATAATTGGAGGGCTGCTAGAACATTGTCATTGGTCTACTTTCTCACTTAAATGTTGTTCCTGCCTTTTAGCCTCTGTTTGTTATTTAATTTGTGTTTAAATAAGAAGTAGATGTAGATATTAAGAATTATAAATATACTATATAAAACAAAGACTTCGCCCTGACTGGTGTAGCTCAGTGGATTGAGCGTGGGCTGCAAACCAAAGGGTCACCAACCAGTTCAATTCCCAGTCAGGGCACATGCCCGGGTCGTGGGCCAGGTCTCCAGTGGGGGCCAGGTGAGAGGGAACCACACTTTGATATCTCTCCCCCTCTTTCTCTCTCTGTTCCCCTCTCTCTGTAAGTAAATAAAATCTTAAAAAAAAAAAAAACAAACAAAGCATTGTTTTGGGATTAAAAACAAACCACCTTGTAAGGTGATCACTGTACCTGATTTCTGGTATACAGCCAATCTTGAAAATCCTCAAATAACATCCTTTCATTCAGTGTTGTTTTGTTATAATGGTGATGAAATGCTGTAGAAATGTAACTCTCATTTTTATCAATGAATTTATGCTAAAATTAGGTTCATCATTGTGCTTAGATTCGCAGAACCTGTTGACACAGGAGGGCCTACTGTACTCTTCCACTGGTGTTCCAGCCTCCACCCCAGGGATTTGCAACAGGTACTGAATTTGCTTCCTGGGGGACATTTGTCACATCTTGGGTGGAGGATGAGGGTAGGGCATGTAGTGGGTAATGCCACTAAACATTCTACAATGCACAGGACAAACGCACAGCAAAGGATTATTCGGCCCAAATAGGCAGTAGTGCTCAGGTTGAAAAACCCCGCTCTTCCCTCAGTATTAACTGAGGAGTTGGCTTAATGTGTGTAACTCAAAAGCTTTCGTCTGAACTTTGCTGTTGCTTTTGTGTTTTTGGAAGACTTTTGTTTGCCTGGGGTGGGAGTGGTCTTCTCCAGGAACCCACACAGGACGGTACTTATCTGTAGAGACTAAAAACAGTAAAACCAACTTCAGCAGGTCTGCTTTTTTGTTATCACAGAGTGTGAGCAATTCTAAATTCTTAAATGAGCACACTTTTTAAACTTATCCTGTAATAAACATTATTTCCTACATGCAAATGTATTTGGAGAGCTCCTGTCATGCCGTTGGCCCTGGCACACATGCGCTGAGCTGTGCATGTCCCTCTGACAGTCAGTTCTGGGCAGTTCACAATTGGAGCTTGCTTCAGGAGCAAGCCGATGCTTCTAACCCTGGGTGCATGGTGCAAGGAATACAGTACAGCCTATTTCTGTATTTAAATAGAGCTTTTCAATAAACAGTGAGTGCAGTTTAAAATGAAGAAATGGAACTAGAGTCTCTTGAATTCTGTTACTCTCTGTGACCTTTTGCAGTTTTTATCTGGTTAAAATTTGAAACAATGCACGAGTGGAACACTTAGGTGTTATGTTGTTTGAGTGCATACTTTAATTTAGTTCATAGAAGAAATGTTTTATTGAATTTTAGAAGTAACTTTAAAATTAACATTCTTTTTAAATGGTTGTTTTAGCTAATCAAGAATATAATGATAATTGATTATTGCATGATTGTTGCTGGAAATAATTCTGTCCTTTGGGGGAGGGAATGTTAAATAGAGATCGGCCCTGTGTGTCCCCATGCTAGGTATGTCGCTGTTAGGATGCTTGAGACCTGTAAGGGAAATGAATGAAAGCAGGCCCAGCAAAAGCAATTCATTATTTCTGTTGATCTGGTTTCTGTCCGTTGTGAAACCTGTGCTCTTTCAAATGCTACATAGGATTAAAGTTCTGACCTATTAATGTCTTTGTGAGAGTAGCCAAAATTCCTTCCACCTTTATGTTTTAAAACATTTTCATTGAATTATACATAAAGAACAGTGCATACATTGTTAGTATACAGCATGATGAATTGCCACAGCCAGATACTCCTGTGTGAATGTACCCGGATCAAGAAACCAAACCGAACAGTACCCAGAAGCTCCTTTGTGCAGATCTCCATTCACCCCTGTCCCAAGCATAAGCATTGATCATTCTTGTGGGGGGGGGCTCTGCCTGCAGGCCCCCCACCCCCGGCTGCCATGCATGCGAAAAAGTCTACCAAGATATGATCTGCTTGGGGAGGAAAGGTGGCTGATCTCTCAAAGGAGAAGGGCCCAGAGCCTTTTCCTCCATGGGCTTTTGTTGGGTTCATTTTGCACAGGAATACAGGTAAAGCCCATTAATCATTGTCAGGCAGTAAGGATCAAACAATAGATAACATACAAAGAACTATGAGGGCCTATTCTGAGTCAGGGTCAGTCAGCTAAAGGGCTACAAAACTTTGGGAAACAAACTTATTTCCTGCTTGGACCCTTATCAGAAAATTGAGGGAATTCTTAACGAAGCAGGTTTCACAGGATTTTATATATTCTTTTTTAGGCCTGATCACTCGGGGAACCTACCCTTTCCAGCACAGGGCTGCACTGCCCTCTGTCATTGTTTCAGGCTTAAGTCAGGCAGGGGAAGTAAGGCAGCCAGGAGATTAGGAGACTTCTTTCAGATAGAATGAGGACTCAGGCTTTATCAAAGCCGAGGGGCGAGGGTCCATCACCCCCTTTCTCCATAGCCTTCCAAGTCCTTCTCTGGGGCCTCCAAGCGATCGTGCCTGTCTTAGGTTGTTCTCTCCCTTGGGGAATCTTACCTGTCATTGGCTGATGGATCAAGCATTGGGGGTCAGTTATGGATGAAGTAAAAGGAGCAGAAGTGGAGCTCCTGCCAGGGAGATAAGCTTTGTCTGTTTAGTGGCTTATGGTCTGAAGGTTGCTCACTCAGCCTTAGCCATGGGGGTGGAAGCGGTAGGGGTTACAGTTTCTAAAACCAGGCAGGGAGGTTCCCAACACGTTCCAATAGCACAGATTAGTGTTGCCTGTTTTTGGATGTTATGTAAATGGAATTAAGTATTCAGTACATAAAGAGAAGACTAATTTTTAACCCATCTCTGGGTTTTGATTCTGGCTGGACACACTTGAAATATTCTAAAATGTGGCAGTTAAATAAAACATCCTGCAATTTTAGCAGCAGATGAACAAAAATTTTCACGCTGTTTCCTGTGTGGCCTCACTAATAGAAGCATTGACCTTCAAGTAGTAACATCTAAAATGCTGGCTTCTGTAATGAAGACCACAACCAAATTATGGTATTACTTGTTGGGCAATTGAATTTTATTTGGAAGGCAGATAACTGTACAGAAGTTAAACTGGATTTTGTGTATGTATTGAAGCAATCAAGTTCATTTGCAGCTAAAGTAGCTTATGGGCTTAAAGTGTAGTCAGTGAGCTGGACACACCATGTAGAAGCTTATAATTGCATGTGGGTTGGAAACCATAACATTGTAATGGAGTCTTATTGCATCGGTGTATCGCATTCAGAATACCATTTTCTGGATAGTCAGCATGTCTTGTCTATAGGGATGGAACAGATGGGAGGCTTCATAGTTGAAGTTGGGGCCGTGGGGAACTGAAATCGCCCTTCACGTTATGGGGAAATTTAGCGCTCAGTTTGAAGACTTTTGGGAATGTTGAGTTAACGTAAAATGTTACTCAGAAAACATAGCCTCCTGTACAACCACCATCCACGGTGAAAGTACATACTCTCGTTCTTTCCTGGATCTGTCAGAGGCTGGTTTGCTCACGATGAGCTGTAGTGGCCAAGTTGGGAAGGTGGCGTGGCTCCTCCTGAGGTGCTGTGTGGCAGCGGGCCACATGGGATGGGAAAAACATTTGCCACGCAACTTCTGTTGGTTCCAGCAGAGACAAAAAGGAAGGGTTCTAGCAGAACTGCTAAGTCAGGGATGTTTGTCTCTGAGAAGCTGGTCTTGGCTCACTTAATTTTTCGGTTGTGAAAAACATTTTCTTTCTTCCCTGCAGTGGTTTATAGCTATCGTCTCTAATTAGAACAGGGAAGAATCATACATACTTTAATCTTTGAAACTTATTTGTGTCCACTTGTTTAATCTGCCTGTATTTTGCATTTTTGAGTCTTTGATGCAGGAGAGGCAATGCTTGCAAATAAAGCTGTTAAGGAACTTGTATCTGAGGTGGGAACTGGATCATGACACTCCTGGGCTTCAGTCTCTTCAAAGTCACTCTTCAGGTGCAGGTAGCTGTAAATCCTGCTGTGGCATTAAAGGTCCCTGGTTACCTTGTCTTGCCACACAGGACTTGCCTTGCGCCTCCTGTGCGGTCCAGGCAGGCAGGGGAACCGTGCCTTTGCGTGGGGCTGTTTACTGGTACCTCTCTCCATCCACAGACTCTCTCCCCACTGTGGAGGCCTTCCTCCATCATTCTCTTTTTATCTTCCAAGATTCCTTGCAGGATTTTCTTTCTCGATCCTCCTAGATAGGATGAGAAGAGCGGCTTCTGTGTTAGAGAAGTGTCTTCTATGTTCTCCTGATACCTCTGCCTATAGTGAATGACCGCATTTGTCCACTGGCCTGGTGTGTGCCCAGCATCCAGAGTAGTGTCCTTCACATACAACTGCTTATCAAATACCTATTGAACTAATGGGTGGATTTTGTTTTTATATTATATTCTGATTCATGGACATGCCTGTCTCCCTACTACAGTTCGAAGGCAGGGATCACTCCTCGTCATCATCCCATGCTCAGCTCCTGACAGAGGTTCCCCAAAACGCTTGAATGGAAGACGAGCATTTTCCACCTAGAGGCAGGGAGAATTTTCCTTGTACCCCAGTCATTTGTATTAAGCTTTGAGTGTATGGGCAGAACCTCATCCTGTGGCTTTGTGACAGATGCAAGGGAATCCCAGAATGCTGTGGGGTAAGGACCGTGCCCTGTTACTCCCCCACCCTCACCCCCTTGTTTTTGAAGTAGGAATGTCTCTTGTGTGGGCAAGTGTTGATGAAGGCATTCATCTCTCAGAGAAAACTCCTGACAGTGATGTTGATTACCCTCTTGATTGCTGATGCAGGAAAACATCAGTTTTTAAAAAAGTAGATTATGTAAAGGCAATATTAATTATCATCCTTCAAGGGAGATAACTGTCATTTTTACATGATCACTACAGCCCAGTAAAGGTTCCTAGAATCTGATCATAGCAGTGTTTATTTAGTTCCCAGAAAAAGAAAGTAAATGATGGGGTAGAGTTTTGCCAAATTTAAGTCTTTCTTTCCCTAACCTGCTCTTTGGCAATTGCTTATTTGTCTGTGAGTGCCCAGCAGGTCATGAAATGAGTAGCAACCAAGGAAAAACTGCATTTAGTCAGAGAGCGGAGAGATGTGCATTTTTACTATTTCCTGCATCTTCTGCGATGCCGAGGCCTCTGGCCTCAACACACACCCTGTCCTTCCAGTTGGATTGTTCCTGAGTGAAGAGGGGATTCCATGTTGCAGGATGCCCAGATGTCCTGAGAGCCCATGATTTTAGGGGTTCTGTTCTTTTCACAAGTTTGAGGACCCCTGAATTATGAAGAGGCACAGTGCCTGAGGCCTGGGCTCACACAGCATGGCTCCTTGCTCCCAAGTTGGGGGAAAGAAAATGAAAGAGAAGACTGATTCTGAAATACAGTCCTCAACGCTGCCTCTCTCTACGTGGGAGAATGGAGCAGATCAGCATGGATGGCATGGGTACTGCCACACCTGGAATGCATT